AAAAAAGAAATCTTAGATGTTCTTTAGAGAAGAAACTTCTTTCTTTCCTTTATTGCACTTTTCTCACCTAAAGAAAAGAAAAGTTTCTTTATAAAAAAAGAAAAGAGAAAATGAAGAAAAAAGAAATCTCAGATGTTCTTTCGAGAAGAAACTTCTTCCTTTCCTTTATTGCATTTTTCTCATTAAAAAAAAAAGTTTCTTTATTAAAAAAAAAAGAAAAGAGAAGAAAAAAGAAATCTTAGATGTTCTTTAGAGAAGAAACTTCTTTCTTTCTTTTATTGCACTTTTCTCACCTAAAAAAAAGAAAAGTTTCTTTATAAAAAAAATGAAAGAAAGGAGAAAAAGGAAGGAAAAAAAGAAATCTCAGATGTTCTTTCGAGAAGAAACTTCTTTTTTTCCTTTATTGCATTTTTCTCATTAAAAAGTTTCTTTATTAAAAAAAAAAGAAAAGAGAAGAAAATGAAGAAAAAAAGAAATCTTAGATGTTCTTTAGAGAGGAAACTTCTTTCTTTCCTTTATTGCACTTTTCTCACCTAAAGAAAAGAAAAAGTTTCTTTATAAAAAAGAAGAAAGAAAAGAGAAAATGAAGAAAAAAGAAATCTCAGGTGTTCTTTCGAGAAGAAACTTCTTTCTTTCCTTTATTGCACTTTTCTCATAAAAAAAAAAAAAAAAGAAAATCTCTTTATTGAAAGAAAAAGGAAGAAAGAAGAAAACGAAGGAAAGAACATTCGGATGTTCTTTCGAGAAGAAACTTCTTCCCCGTTTTGATTTTTTCCCTTCTTCTCTTCTTCCTCCGCGGTATTCTTACGACCGGTCGCTGTCGGTAAATAGAAGTTTGTACATTCGCGGAATTTTTACCTTTGCGTCTGCATCTTACAAATTTATTCGCGACTTTTCGCGCGCACGAGGAGCCCACTTCTCGCAACCGGGCATGTAATCGCATTTTTCCAAAGCGCGCGCGTGCTCGTGCGCGACCATGATCGGCGGGTACGTAATTAACGCTAACGCTCATGAATTATGTTAGACACGAGGAACGTATAATTAGGATTATGCCGATCGTTATTTAATCGTCAGCTCGCGAGAGTCGAGGGTACGCGATATGGTGGTTGTTAGCAAGCGCGCCGAAGCCGCGCCGTCGTCGTTCAACCGTATGCATTCTCCTCGCTGCCCCCGAAGAGCAGCGCAATCGGTTCGATCTCGCGATGATCGTCCCTTTCCCTGCCAGCCGCTCGTCGCCCGCTCGATGCAAAAAAGGAATCCACTCGAAGAATGCCGCGCGTCTTTGTCTCCGGCTCTCTTATTATCGGACTCTCTCCCAATCTAACGATTCATGTGATTCGACATCGACGATACTTAAAGGTAACTCCTTCCGTGACATTAAAAAGGCACTCCCAGGCTCTCGTTGCACCGGTCCCTTTGCTTGTGCGGTTTCACACGCCGATGTCGGATGTAGAAACAGCCGGCCGCGGCACCGACGCGGCAGCGACGTTCCATTTCTGCGGTGTTTTACGAGCAAGCAGTTATTATTCACCGGTGGCTTTTCGTACGAGCCACGATTTCAGCCTCCCCTCAAGGACGAGCGTCGCTTCTCGTCGACGTGAATTCGGTTCCCGTCATCGTCGTCGGCACGGAAAGCTGAATCCGAGCGCTACGCTCGTCCGTACGCAATAATTAATTAATTGCCGTGTTAATTATCTGCCGATCCGTACCGCGGTTATTGAGCACGTCGACTTGATTCGCGGAGGAATCTCTGGCAGGACTCATCATATCGTGAGAACGAAAGTTGTTCTGAAGGTCCTGGGACATCCTGCCTGTGTCTCTCACTTGTATTTCACCTCTTTCTCTTGCTCTTACTTGTCCTTCGTGCGGCAATCGGTGCGGCTTCTTACCTCTCACGCGGGATTAGTCGTTAAACTACACGAATATGCGGATAAAATTGAATGAGAATATAATTTGTTGCTAGGATCATTATCATCGGCGTTGCGCAGCGAGAGGTGTATGTGCCTCGCTCGGTTATACTCACACCTCAATGGGTTTTTATTCCCTTCGAAATGTTGCCGCTAACGAGTGCTAACTGCGTTACCGCTATAGTTTGTTGCAAAGATAAGAGAGAAAAAGAGAAATGCGCCACAAATGGTGCGCTACCATCACACTATTTATTCGCTCGACCGAAAGCGTGCGGCGGAATTATCGAACGCTGAAGGACGAGATGTGAGGTAAATGTCCTAATAATTGGACGTTTAAGTGTAGGTCGTCACAAAAAATACAATATGTAATATTAAGAATAGTTTTGATATAAATATTTGCATTTATTCAAAAACTTAAGATTCTCCAAAGGAGAGAAAAATTATTTAAATCAATATATATATATATATATTGATCAATATATTCAATATATATATTACTAATATATATATATATCTATTATTAATGAAATATTTACACAAGTAATGAAGCGCATTAATGTACCAGTGATCGGACAGTTGAAGTAGATTATGGCTCAATGTTCGGATATAATTTGTCCCAGTATCTGAGCGCAATTAGAAAATTAGTATGTGCTAACAGGAAATAATATAAATATAGATGCTATCTCTTAATGAATTTATTAATGGTTGGCCATTATTTTGCCAAACCATAGGTGCATACTTATTTAATTAATTTTTATTTTAATACAAACGTATCAAATTGGGTATATTTTTTTCCAACTAGTCGTCAAATATCGGAGTTTTTTCTTGCAGTAATTATTACCTTCATTCATTATTGTTAAAACAAATAGTAAATATTTTTTTCAAAGTGGTCGGACAGTGGGACGTATCCGGCCATTGGGACGTTTACCTTAACTCTCGTCGCGAAATTCGGTTGTTTATTCAATTTCGCGCAACCGACGCAACCCTCGGCGGAAACTTAGCTCGAAGATTAATTATCGAGATATTTAATGTCGGAAATTAAAAGGTAGCCGCGCGAACGATGGCTATCTATTCAATTTCCGTTAGAATAAAAATCAATATCAATGGGTCTGCGTGCGTGTGCATTATGTGTGTATGTGATGTAAATGCAATAAAGGAAGATGCGCCTGTTACATATCTCAAGTTCTGTCCGTGTACCGATATGACGAAACGCCCGTACGGATGAGATTCAGTGAGAAACGCCGCGAATCTCTCTGCGCGTCAACCTGGATTCGCATAATTAAATGTCGTCGCTGTTGTACTTGCCGTGATTTCATCACGCTTAAAACTCTAATTAACGAAGATGTCACACTAACGATCTTCTTTCTCAAGTTGCCGGTTACTTGGCCTTTTCTCCACTCGACGACTGCTTTACGGCCGCGATACATCGTGGTTTAATTCACTCATCGCGTTACATCGCTCGATGTCACGGTCGAAAATATGCCGAGTGAATATTTATAAAAATATACATCTATCAAAAATCGCCTTACGAGTTTACTTGAACAGGTCACACAAGTTGCAAGAATATCTGACTTGTTGTTGTGTTTATTTTGAAAAAAAAAAATCGATTCAAGTGCTTGAAGTGTCCAAGTCTCAAGTTCTCAAATATCGATGATTGAGGTTTGGAGTAAAGACGGAGAATTATCATCGCTATCGATGCTACCATTGATAGTTTCTACTACCGGTAATAATTAATAGTTTATTTTACGCTATCGAAAATTTTAAATAATTTTTCCTCCTCATAATTTCAATTGTTAAACAATAATTTACGAGGAAACATTCTAAACCGTTTGATTAAAATTAATAAATTCATTCTTTTTGTTCGGATTAATAAATCTAAAAAAATATATATTTACGAATGTATAAAACAGGTGAATAAGGAAATAATTCGAGGAATATGCCATTTTATATAATTCGACGAGTACTATTGGATGCAATTTTAATAGTTCTCAAAAACGCTTGATTTAGTCTCGGTTGAACTTAAGGCCTGGTCTACAATACGTGTCGTAAGTTGTAAGCCGTAAGAATTGGCGAATCACAGTCGATTATTACAAAGATAATCGGCTATAATTAGTCAGTTCTTACGGCTTACAGCTTACAACATATATTGTAGACCAGGCCTTATAGAGGTCGGCAAATTATAGTCAGTAGTTTGCTAAAATTCATCTTTTCAGCCGAGACTCGAACCATAATTTATCGACCTCTAAAAACCCCAGTTAAGACTCGAACTACAATTTATTGCCTCAAGGCCTTCACACACGAATCTACTTAACACGTAATCGTAAACCGTAAAGAAATCCTCCAATCAGTTATGGCTTCTGACTTGCGTAGAAAAATGTAGAGTCGACTCTGATTGGAGGATTTCTTTACGGTTTACTTATTACGTGTTAAGTAGATTCGTGTGTAAAGGCGTTTACCAGAGGGGAGCCTGAGAGCGGCCACCGGGGCCGGTTACCCCGGAACGTTTTCTCCGACGCGCTTCCTGAGAAAATGTGTGCACACTACGTCCGTCCTGATGGTAACGGCAAAGCGTGCACGGTTCTCGTTTATTCTACTTCCTTACAAAAATAGTAAGATTAGTAAGTTAGAGAAGCATAGACGATCAATCGCTCTCCGTCTTTGTCTCATCACCGATGAGCGAACTCCGCCCCTCCGCCGCTTATATGTACTATCTTACACTTCCCGACTAAAAAGAACAGACCATAATTTATATTATCTTTGTATTATCGGCATGACAGATTTCTTAGCCTTATGTGTGTCATTCTTCAAATTTCTATAATTGTTTGAAAGCGACACTTTTTTCTTCCAAAATCGTTTTCTACGCACTAAAATACACGATTGTACAAAGTTTCAGCGAAATTGGTGAAGAGGCCCGTATTTTAAATAATTATCTTCTTTTGATACTTTCCGATGCTTTCCCATTATTCCATATCTGTTATCAGCTATGCTTATTTCGAGTTACAGTTTCATATTCCGGCCACGATATTTCTAAGAGGGCGTCTAAGAGGGCACAGTTTCTCTGGTACACTAAATCCCATAAGACTAGCAGTCTTTGTTAGTATCTCGTCAGAGAGCCCGCTTAAGATTCTCGCAACGGTCACCATCAGTATTTCGTCAGTACATCTGCGTAACATGAGAGATTAGGTTAATCACGATATAACCGTTCTAATTTGGTGAGGTTAGAATATTTTTGTGGAGCGGCGTTGAATTGAAACTTGTTTTTGAAAACTTTCATATATTGTCACAATGACTACACCTCCGAATACTGGATTATCCTTTGGTACACCAAAAACTACAACAGGTGCAATACTTTTATGAGAAATAAGCATGCAAAGTGCTTTTGCGTTTTTAGTTGATGTATACATGTATACATATATTTTATACTTTTTAAGGAATTACTGGTCTGACATTTGGTGCATCTACCACAATGACTCCTGGAACTGGTTTTGGTCTTGGCAGTAACACAATTACAGCAACAACTACACCTTTATCTTCAGCACCAAATTTGCCAAATTTTGCTCTCGCAAGTAGTGTGACATCTACACCTGGATCAGGACTTTCCTTTGATCCTACTAAGGCATCTACAACCACAACAGTGGCCACAGGATTTCCTCTGGCAACAACTACAGCAAGTGGTTTTAGTTTCGGTGTTCCAACAGCGAAACCTCTAACAGGTAGTTTTCAACAGCAAAACTTTTAACAGGTAGTTTTTTTAGATAAATCTAAGAACTTTCATGATCTCTTGAAAACTAAACTGCAGACATATTCAAACAATATGATCAATATCTTAGAACTGCTTTCAGTAAATCAGTATTCCAGTAAATACTTTTTGTGATATTTTCTATATATTTTTTTCCGCATAATTATTCAAATATCTTCATTCAAATATAATTCAAATCGTCATTCAAAATAAATTCTTAAAATTTGCTCGATATTGATATCAATATACATACATGTTTACAAGGATCCACTGGCTTGACTTTTGGTACTCCAAATCCTATGGCTACTGGAACTGGATTTAGTTTAGGCAGCACAACTACGACTACAACATCCACATCTACAGTGGCAACAGCCCCAAGCTTAAATCTCACCAGCAGTGCAGCACCATCACTAGCAACACCAGGACTTTCATTTGATGCCTCGAAAACTGGTACCACTACAGCCGCTTCCACAGGATTTTCTCTTGCAACAACTACAGTGGGGGGATTTAGCTTCGGGGTTGGTACAACAGCAACTACTTCAACAGCATTTCCTTTGAGCAAAACAACTTCTGCTGCTGTCTCAACAAATTTAACAGCATCAGCCCCCCACACTTCTTTGGGAACCACCACTACGTAAGTATTTTCTCATTTATATTTTTTGTGAATTTATAACATTTCTTTCTATTATATTACAGTGTTACTTCAGCGACTGGTGTTCAGCCAGCAGCTATTAATTTCTGTCAGCTTGAAGAATCGATCAACAAGTGGACCTTAGAATTGGAAGAACAGGAGAAAGTTTTCGTGAATCAAGCGACACAAGTGAACGTTTGGGACAAATTGCTGATAACGAACGGAGAAAAGATAGTGATATTGAATCAAGAGGTCGAGAGGGTGAAATTTGAACAACAGCAATTGGAACATGAACTAGACTATGTTGTAAGTTATATTTGCAGCATATATATATACATAATTATATATGAAGTTTTTCTAGATATATATATATATATATATATATAGAGTTATTTTACACAAATATAAATTTATTATATGCAGATTATTTACATAATTTTATTTCTAATAAAGATTAATAAAATTGAGGTATTGAGAAATTCTGTTGAAATCTGTTTCCAGATTGGGCAGCAGAAGGAGTTACAAGAATGCCTGGTACCATTGGAGAAAGAACTGGCATCGCTGTCTGTTTCGGACCCCGACCGAGAGTACACATACCGTTTGTCGGAAACCCTTGACACACAATTAAAGCGCATGTCAGAGGATTTGAAGGAGATAATAGAGCACTTAAACGAGGCTAATCGCGCTCAAGACTCTAGCGATCCCATTGTCCAAATTGGAAAGATCTTGAACGCGCATATGAATAGTTTGCAGTGGCTGGATCAACAGACGTCTTTGTTGAACCAGAAAATACAACAGATTGACCAGATGCATCAGAGCTTTAGACAAGAAAGTGAACAAAATCTGCACCTAGCTTACAATTAGTCGATCGCGTCCGTCGTATTGCGCCCAGCGATACGAACTCGCATAGATCTGTAAGTTATTTTGTTTTTCTTATTTCTTCTCTTGGTATTAACTTAGTTAATTTAACAAAAAGAATGGACGATGCGCAGATAAATATGAAAAATAAACGTATATTTTACATTTCAATAACATCACAGTATGATTGAGCTTCTTTTCAAGCATGCTCACGAGGCAACAGCTGGCTCAAAATAATGCATCTTAACATGATCTCCTATGTCCATAGTCAGTTTTATCATCTTTTCGTGCAGTATGTAGCACTTGACACTGTCCGGATGAAGAACGTCCCAACTCAGAAACATCGCGAGTTTCTTTATGCTAACAGTCGCAGAAACATCACTGTCCTCATCTTCCTGCTTTTCTAGCCTGTTCATCCAAATTTGTAGCTCTCTGAAGTGACTCGTTACAGTAGCGTGATCTACCTCGATTCTTAGCATCAATGTACCATGTTTGTTGGCAATTACTGTCAACTTGGGGCTCATACTCTTCATCCTTTCCACGATATGCCGCAGGTATTTGATCTGTGGTATCTCCAGTGATACCTGAAACAGAAGATTGCTTGTACTCGATCGATTCCCATATTTGCAGAGAGAAGTACATTGCATCACATTTGTGCGAACTTACATTGAAGTTTGAGATGATTGGCATTTTGTGCTCTGGCCACTCCTTACGTGGTATCAGCCTTACTGGCACATCGTGCATACATTGTCGCGTCTCGATAGCTAAGGAAGATAGATCGATCTCAAATGTCAGGCAGGGCTGTCGCTTGTTTGTCAATTTGATCTTCATGTTCTTTGCTGTTGCTTTCAGGCTGTTTAAGCTTCTGGCGAACATGGACGCGTCGAATTCCAAGTAGATTTCGTTCTCGTCTTCGCACACGCCGATCATGATGTACTCGGTAAAGAAGTGTTCCTGAGAGAGCACCGCCCAGAGCACGGGTGTTTTCTCATCGCCGACGTTGAAGCACAATTCGTCCGATGTGAGTCGCAAGACGCAGTACTTCCGGGTCATCCGGGATATAGTATTGACGATGTCTGAAACGCAGTTAACAACGACAAAGTCAAAAATACACACGATTGTTCTATTCGTTTGCAAGTATTTCGTGCGCGTAAAAGTGGAGAACTCGTGCGACGTCAATATTTATATTTGACACGTGAAACTAGGTTAAAAATATCCATGAAATTCTGATCTTACTCGTGAAATCCCGCATAGCGCCCGTGTCCACCATCCTGCATCTGAATTTCATTCTCGCTCAAATGATGTATTTACTTTTAACACTTGCGTTATTACCGTCCATTGACACAGCGAACATGAAACAACGGCGTGAAATTGGCGCGAGAAACGAATGTAGGCGGGATATTTGCAACTTCCAGTCGAGCCACTCCGAGAGTATCCCGTCTCGAGTCCATTTCGACTTCAAGTATTGAGTCCGGATATATATGTGGATTATTTATTTATCGAATAAGAATGAAAGCGTGATTACGTGCGGTCAAAGTTCGCACGAATTCGAGTTAATTTAGTCTTTATTCATTTGAAAATTGTCCATTTGTCGTTCGCATCGTGGTTCACTTTCTCCCACATAGGTGTCAACCGCATCATTTTTTACGCGCACGCAAGACAGAAATAACTTTCTACTTTCCAAAATCATTTATTCTGACAACATGCAACATTGATTGTACATCGATTAAGTCAATTGCGCGGAAACCACCAACTTATTCAACTTGCAATGGTCTGTCTTCATCATTTACGGGCGCGTTCCTTTATTTACTGCCGAGTACTGTCAGCATTACCAACAGTGTTCCGATATGAGTCGCAGTACACTGCGAAAGCGCTTCTATAAGTGTATGACGTCATTAATTTCGGCGGCGTCACTTCCTGCTACGGCTACTGCAGCTGGCGGAGGTAAAGCAGTCACAGTACAAAATGGCTGCTTACATAGATTAAAATTTGATTGAGGATAGGGACATTAACAAAATGTATACACAATAGCTGTAAAAATTTAATATGTATTAAATTATTAATATAAATATACACAGTTCAAAAGGCAACTTAGCAAAACACATCATAAATATGAATTAATATAAGAAATATGGTTGTAATTTTTCTTTAATGTACGATTAAGTTTTCAACTTTGTGCTTAATAATCTGCCGAAAATGCATTTTAAATTTCACATCTCAGAATATGCAGGTAATGTAATATTTTTCACATAATTTTTGGACTTTACTTGTGGTATCCGAAATTGTGCAACTAGCTGTTGTACTATTTTTATGTCTAAATTGCTTTCGCTTTATTCCTCATCTATGTTTTGTCTCATTATAGTTGCAATTAATGCGATTATAGTTATATTGGTATTTGAGATTTCATTCATGTTTGTAAACAGATGCACTGGTTACAAAACACAAGCTTCACGAAGTATACTGCGGTACGTTCCAATTTGTAACGTTGCAACACCTCGACAGTTCTCGAAGTTAAAACGGAACGCTGCTAGTAGTACACTTTCATGACGTCATAGCGTCAGTACTTGCAGTAAATAAAGGAACGCACCCTGCATTTGGTTTGTAGTTTATTTTTCCTTCGCACAGATGTCGCCAATGCCGGTTCTGTGCTTGCGAGACGCAGAATAACCGTTTCTTGACTTCTAAGATTTTTCGTTTCAATAATATATAACGTGTCGATCGATTCATCCTTATTTTTCGACGACTAATCGAACGAATTATACAGTTCCCGCGAAAACGTATTAAAGTAACATATCGAGTTACAAATACACTCACGCGTCTTTCACAAAGCTAACAAGGACCCGAGCAACTCGACACACGACATAAGGTTTCTTCTCTATCGCAGAATCGGCTGCGCGAACCAGTATTCTCCTTCTCCTTCTCCTGTCAATCTCAACTGCACAGCTCTCTCGTTAACGTCTCCAAAATCTATGCTAATTGAGCGACAGAAAACGAACTCGCACCACACTCTCGACACAAGCTCTCGAGAGCACACGACTCGAAGCGTCCGGCGATTGCGAGCGAAAGCTCATGGTCGGTAAGCCAGGAATCTAGCCGGCCGACCACACGTACGTGTTCCCACACACACAACACGCACGCGCCATCGGCAGTCTCTCCCCGCGCGCCATCGCGAAGTTACCCTGCGTGAGAATGAGCGGCTGGCAGCGCGTCGTAACGACGAATGCACACATTCGTCGGCCGTAACCCCGATCGACGTCAAGCGCACGTCGGAGTGTGACGGGCGCGAGCGAGTCAGCGGCGGAGAAGATCGATCGGCCGGTCGGAGCTCGCCACGGTGAAGTGAACGCGAGCGATCGCTGAACGCGGCGAGTCGCGTGACAGCTCCGTCATTCGCGGATGTGAAGCAAAGCTCTCTTCCTCCGTCGCCGCGTTCCTCGGTATCACTCGTGCGCGCGCGCGCGCGCGCCCGCGCTCGCGCTCGCGCTCGCGCTCACGCTCGTTCGTTCGCTCGTTCGCGAACGACAACTCTCGGGTCTCTGTTGTCTCTCGGAGGGTGAGCCACGGCCATATTGTTTAAATCGCCGGTCTCTCGCGATTGAATCTCTCCGCGGAGAGCGTCCTGCCGTCCCCGGCGAGCAACGCGCGGCCTCCGACGACTGCTGCTCGGCACGAGTGTTCACCCTGGAACGATGCTGTACTGAACAAATATGTCTCTCGGGAAAAGGAGGTGAGTCCGACTGCGTTTGCCTCTGTCTGTCTGTCTGTCTGTCTCTGTTTCCTCGTCGCCGTTGCGTCATATTGAGTATGACCTGTGTGTTTCCCCGACCACGCGAAGCCATTACGTTCGCCCGTCTCGGCTCTCCCCGCGCTTTCTGCCCCGCGCACCCAGCGCAGCAGGCGACGAAGAAGACAGAGAGAGAGAGAGAGAGAGAGAGAGAGAGAGAGAGAGAGAGAGAGAGAGAGAGAGAGAGAGAGAGAGAGGAGAGAGGGGGGTGAGGGGGAGGGAGGTGCTGTTTTCCTTTCACGGAGGGAAGAGAGCGAGCAGCCTATTTTCGACCACGCTTCCGACACGCGACAAGTGCGCGTTTCGGCGGGAGAGGACAGACGAAGCGGGGCGCGGAGAGTGCGAGGAAGCAAACGGAGCTTGCGACGACTCGCCGCTCGTTTGTTCGACCCGACCGACTCCAGGTCGGCCAAATCGGCGCTCCTCGTCGCGAGATGCGGCCTCCCGTCCGTCAGCTGCGTCCTCTGGCACCCCCGAGTACTCGTCGGACTCGCGGATACCCGCGGGAGAACTTCCGTCGTGCTTCTCTCCCCTTCGTCCCTCGAAGCGATCAGCTTCGACGTTGCGACGCGACATTTCTCTCCAGTCGCAAAGACGTTCCCCCCCGATTTTGCATCTCGTCTCTTTGCACGCATTGCTCGGCGCTCACGCGCTAGTCTTTTCATCGTTGCCGTAATCACCATTAGTCATGTCCCCATTATCGGTATTATGATGATTATTGCATGATACATAGGTACGCACGCAAAGGATCGGAAGCGACAATAACATGCCGGCGTCGAGGTGAACTCTCGACGTCACTCGTCTCTCTCTCTCTTTGTGTGTGTGTGTGTGTGTGTGTGTGTATGTATGTGTGTGTGTATGTCGTCGGCAGCCTATTGTGATCGGTCGTGTATGACTCGACCGGCGTTATCGGCGCGTATCGTTTGCTCGTGAGATTTAAATAGACGTGTTTCTTTGTCGCGTGGCCGCGCCGCGATTGCCGCGCTGATTCTCGGAGCGCATCACGCGATACGTGTGTGCACGTAAGAGAGAGAGAGAGAGAGAGAGAGAGAGACTTCTTTCCTCGTTCTTCTATTCCTGTTCTCCTATTCGCAAGCGCCAAGGCGAGCGCGGGCTTTCGAGCTTTCGCTTGTAGAGCGAGATTGAAGGGCCAACCTTGCCGGAAAGTCAACATACGGATTAAGGTCGAGTGTCTTGCTAGATACGCTCGAGCGAAGATCGAGGACGAACTAGAGTCTCACTTTTGCGAGACAAAACATTTCTGCGTGATCTTGGACGGAGGTTGCGTAAAAAAAAAAAATGTATACAAGAGCAAGATGCTTAAATATTTAATAATATATATTTAACAGTATATAAGCGGTAACGTGTGTGTGCGTCTCCTCGCGCGCGGTGGCACATTTTTGTTTTTATTCGTATGACTTCAATCGTTAAGTTGCGGATATTTTTGTCTCATCGCATCGTCTCGTTTTTATTTCTCGTGTTATTATTCTTATCATAAAGTGCTGTCGTCTCTTTGTGTCGTCATCAATTTCGTAAAGTGCGACATATAGGATGTCCGATCTTCCCTTCGTTCGTTCTCCTCTCGGTTGCACCTCGGCGCATGATGGGAACCACTCGCTTCTTGCAACGCTCGCACATTCGCGTGAGTCTCTTCTTTTTCATTCTTGTATCTGATAACCGAAAAAAGTATAGAATAACCCGCGACAGCGCGTTACGAAAGGGTCAACTTTCTCTTTCGGGGAGGGATACTCCGTGAAAACACCCGGGAGGTCCCCGTGAAGCGGTATTTAAGAAAGACGACTCTATCACAGGGGGAGAAAGAGAGAGAGAGAGAGAGAGAGAGAGAGAGGGAGGGAAATGAGGAGAGAAATGAATTTATAACTCTGTATGAATCTTAATTTTTCTTGTCATGACTTCTCACGTGATCTCAATTATTAGGTATGTAAATTAATTCTCGGCCTTTTTGGCATAATGTTGATTCTGTATTTTTTCGAGCTTCTTTAAACGTATAGAAATAGCCGGTAGTTGAGTGACTCTCTCTCTCCCTCCCAGTTCTTCAGCAAGCTCCTTTTGCGTCTGACAAAGACTTTCGTTGAATATGACAAATCATTTTTTGTGCTTCTGCAGCATTTTTTCAAGTTGGAATGCGAAAAGGAGGCAGTGCCTCAGGCGCTTGCTTTTCGAACGACATTGTTTTTACTGCTGTTTTTTGAGGTTATGTCAGTAGTACTGTCAACTATTATAGCTCATTTTAAAGCTCAGAGATGGCGCTTTAAAACGACTGTTCGGCGAGAAAAACATTCAATTTGAACAGGTGTGCTGTAGTCGATTTAATGTAGGGGCCGAGAATTAATTTACACACCTAATACAATTGTACTACGTACGTATCAACTTACGAATAATTATTACATTGTGTGATTAAAAATGTGTACGCCCGAATGCTCTTCCAAGCAGGCGCCCCAAAAAATGAATGTTTATTCGCTCGAACGCCCAGCTAGCGTCGGCTATTTTATCGCACCTTTTATCGCGCCTTTATCGTCATTATGGTTACTCGTCGTTCGTCCGCGTACCAGAAGGGGAAATTTAGCGAGCATATAATCCAGATCAGGCGTCTGGGAATTGAAGTCCCGCGAATGAAAATTAGAACTTGATGAACCGGCTGATTGTTCATCGCTCTCCTTCCCGAGTGATATTTCAGCCCAAGATATTCGGAGAGTATATACACTGAGAAAAATATCCGAAATATATCCGATTGTCATTCGTTATCCGATCAAATATCCGGTGTATT